CCCGAAAAGCCTTCAGACCGAAAGCCGTAAACCCTCAAACCTCCGAAAGACCCTGGTATCCTGAGAAAACATATCCCTAACAAGGCAAAACCGCACTGGAGACCCATGCATTGGACCTTCGAAGGACCATCCCCTCAAAACTAAACCCGAAACTCGACTACAACACCCTAAACTCTAAACCCTAAGCTCTAGACTCTAAACCCTAAACCCGAGGCTCTAAACCCCAAACTCTAACCCCCAACCCTGAACCCTAAACTGGCCCTAAACTCTAAACCCTAAACTCTAAACCCTAACCTCTAAACTCGAAACACTAACCCTAAAACCTAAACCCTAAACTCTAACCCGCAACCCTGAACCCTAATCCCTAAATTCTAACCCCCAACCCTAAACCCTAAACTCTAAACCCTGAACTCTAACCCTAAATCCCCCCGAGGTCCCTACATGCGTTGAAGGCTCTCAGACACGCGCTGTGCGTGACAAGATCGGCGACCAGGCCTGGCAACGGCAGCTTCAGGGTTTTAGGGATTAGGGACTAGGGTTTTTTAAAGGGCAGTGGGTTTAGGGGCTAGGGTTTAGGGTTTTTGGGTTTAGGGGGTTTAGGCTTTTTATGGGGTTTAGGGGTGTTAGGTTTTTTGGGGTTTTGGGTTTAGGGTTTTTGGGGGTTGGGGTTTAGGGGTTTAGGGGGTTTAAGGGGTTTAGGGGGTTTAGGGTTTAGGGTTTTAGGGTTTAGGATTTAGGCTTCTTTAAGGGTTGGGGCTTAGGGTTTTAGGGTTTAGTGTTTTTGGGGGTTGGGGTTTAGGGCTTTAGGGGTTTAGGGGTTTAGGGTTTCTGGCTTTGGGTTTAGGTTTTAGGTTTTAGGGTTTTTGCGGGTTGGGGTTTAGGGCTTTAGGGGTTTAGGGGCTTAGGGTTTTTGGGTTTAGGGAGGGCTTTTGTCGGTTTAGGGTTTAGGGTTTTTGGGGTATAGGCTTCTTTTAAAGTGCAGTGGGTTTAGGGTTTAGCTTTTTTTTCAGCACAGTGGGTTTAGGGTTTAAGGTTTAGGGTCTACGTAGGAACCCAGGTACTTTAAAAAACAAGGCCCTAAGCTCATGACCCAACAAAAACAAGACAAAGAGGTAGGTATGTTAGGTATACTGCCCTTTTCAAAGGTACTTTGAGTGCTCTAGGTAGGGCAGCAGAGACGAATTTGGACATTTTAGTCCCAGGGTTTAGGGCTACAGGGGCGTGTTTCTGTGATTTTGAAACGCCCTTCTCAAGTCATGTAAAGCAAAGCCGCCTTAGTTTCTGAGTTCATAAGCTCCTGTACACTTCCAGTTTTGTAGGGTGGTTATATTCTCCCAAAGAGTTTAAATCCAGCCATTCAGCTAGTAAGCCGCGGTATGCGTCGTAGTGTCACCGGAGCGCGTCGTAGTGTCACCGGAGCTAAGGTATCCTATAATATACAAATTCAGGGTTTCAGGTTTAGGTCTTTAGGGTCCTATCTTTCAGCGTCATATACGGACTGTAAAAGGGTTGTTCTAGCAAGGGATTTGCTAGTAAGGGATTGCTTTGCTGGGGACCCACCCCTAAACATCAGGATACCCTTTTTTAGTTGCTCGGCTTGACTATAATCAGGCTATGAGGGTGTCACTGCGCGACAAAAACCCTGCGAGCCGCGCCATCGAATACCAGCTGCTGCATCAGCGCCAAAACCATGCTCCACTTGCCGCCTGCGAAAAGCGTGCCCACAGCCGTCATACTGAACACGAAGGTATGGAAGCTACAGGGTTCATTTAGGGTTATACTGTTGATGATATAAATCCTGCATTACCTTAAGGACCCTAAACTATGGGAATTATGGTACATTCCTTATTATGGGGTAATGCAGGATTCAGATCATCAACCGTAGTTCGCTGTTGGGATTGCCTCAGAGGATCCCAAATAGAAACCACAAAAAAGGATAGAAGGTATGGGGTTCATGTAGGGGAATAGTGACTGCTGGTTGTTGCTGCGGCAGTTTGCAAGATCCCCCAAAGAACAAATCGTCTCCGCGCCTCATGCCTTTAAGGACGAAATGAACCCTAAAAGGGTTTAAGGTTCATATATATATATATACCATATATATATATATACCATATAGGAATTCACAGTATAAGGGTATAGGGCCACTACTTTTAAGGGTCATGTCGTCCTTAAGGTATGCTCGTCAAAAAATCTGTCGGTAATCTTAGTCCGCACAGTGACTGTGCGGACAAGATGCAACAACATTCCAACTGGAAGATTCTGCTCGAACGGAAAGATATCTACCTCAAGGGGTTCAAGGTATGGGCTTATATGGTTTAAATATACTACCTGTGGGGTCTTCATGTGCCTCTAGATGTTGGTACTCGGACATACACAACTACAGTGGGTCATGGCAATGCAAGGTCTGGGTCTTAGAAGGTGCGCCTTAAGGACGAAACGACCCTTAAAAGTAGGGGCTCTATACCCCTATGCTATGAAATTCTATATGCCATATGAACCTTAAACCCTTTTAGGGTTCATTTCGTCCTTAAAGGCTTGGAGTCTGCACTCATCCTGCCTTTCTCGCATGCGCTGATGGCAGCGTTGTAGCACACCTTGCTTTCAACATCGGATGAGGTGCATCGATACCACACAAAAATAGTCTGACAGTCTCTCTTTCCCCCACATGATATGCGTCCTTTCGTTTATCGTTGTCGATTTGCATTGATATCATCAACCGAAGATGGCTCAGAGGTTCTACTCGGGTCCATGTTTGGTCAGGAAATTGTAAACCCGAAACCCGCTTGAATACTCTTTAGACCCTGGGCCCTGAGCCCTACGCCCCAAACCCTACTTAGGGTTTAGGGTTTAGGGTTACATGTGTGCATGTACATGTATACAGGTTTGCAGGAAACACTTGAGGATGGCTTGCCATTCACGGCACCTTCTGGCACAAACCCTAAACCTTAAACCCTAAACCCCAACTGGGACTTCATCTCATTTCCCTAAGGGTCCCAGTACTCATTATTTAAGGACTTTGGGGCCTTAATGGGTACCAAAATCCATAAATAAGGACTACTCGCACCCTTGAGGTTTTCGGTTTTCCAGCACAAAACTGTGCAGTTCACCGCATCGGAGACACCTGTCACCGCCCTGAGGACACCCTGGACTTCGGGTTTAGGGTTTACGGCTTAAGGCTTGTTGTTTAGGGTTTCGGGTTTAGGGGTTTAGGGGCTTTAATACGGAGGGTCCTGGTCTTTCCTAAGTCAATTGCTACATTCTACAATCTTCTACTATACATAGGACTCTTTGCTCCGATTCAGGGTGTACCAGGGGATCCAAGACCCTACTGTTTCTTAAGGGTTACACCCTCTAACATTCAGGGGTGATAACCCACGATTGCGTATGGTTTGGGGATACAGCTATGGTCTGCTCCAGCAAAAGCCATTGGGGTTTTAGAGGGTCCGTGCGCAGTGGATTTCCTGAGAATTTGCAGCAGTGAGGGGGATGACCCTCAACCTTCAACCCTAGAAGCCCTATCAGCACTATAAGCCGTACGAGCCCTAGTGAGCCTTACTTAAAGCCTCCTAAGTAACTGATCTAAAACGAAGCCCGAAAACCCTCAAGAACACCTAGGAGGGAAACCAAAACCCTCAAATCGAAAACTCTAACCCCCCCAAAAACCCTCGCCCTAAAACCCTCTAAAAACTGTAGAGCCCCCAAAAAAAAACCGGTTGAAGAATTTCCCCTCGAACTATCTTCTCCGAGCCGCCAAAGTCATCTGCAGGCGCTCCGATCGAAGGCTGCGGAGTAAGTCGAGGGTGGCGGCCCAGTTCCCTCCTGAGTCTTCTTTGTTGGGGTATAGCTGAACCCTAAACCCCAAAACCCTAAACCCTAGACCCTAAACCCTAGGACCCTAAACCCAAGGGCCCTAAACCCTAGGACCCTAAACCCTAGAATCCTAAACCCTTGACCCCCAAACCCTAGAACCCTAAACCCTAGAACCCGAAACCCGAGACCCCTAAACCTAGAACCCTAAACCCTAGAACCCGAAACCCGAGACCCCTAAACCCTAGGACCCGAACCCTAAACCCTAGAACCCTAAACCCTAGAACCCTAAACTTCCCTTTTGGTAGAGCTCCTTTAAGGGCTTCCTTCAAGGGTGTAGGATTACTTCAAGGGGCCTTTAGAAAGGATCTTGCAGGATCCCTAGTGGATCTTGTTAGGGTTACATAAAGAGGGTTAGGGTTTAGGGTTTAGGGTTTAGGGTTTAAAGAGGGGAGGTAGATCTGGGGATTTTGAGGGCTCCAGGCTCATTTTGCATAGGGTTCCGGGGGGCGTAGAAGGCTTGGGGTTTGGGGTATCAGGGTCTTCGGGCTGTATGTTAATGCCTCGGCATTTTGGGCGCTTTCAAAAGGGTTTAGTGTCTTAGGCGTTTTGGGGAATTCAAGCTTAGGTTAGGGCCCGGGTTCCTGTAAAGAAGGGTTTTAGGTGGAATGGGCTTCTACATGGCTCCCTCCTGAGCCCTTCAAACGCTTGGTGGAGGTTGAGGGCTTAGGGCTTCTGTGGGGCTTCGGGTTTGGGGGCTCTAAAAATCAGTATTTCGTATTCGGGTTCCGACGCATGATGCTACTCGCCAGTGTTAACCGTAAAAGTGCCCCATGATTTGCGACTCTCCCATGCAGGAGTTGTGCAGAAAGTTTCGGGTACGGCTGAGCTACCCACATATCTCAGTTTGACGATAGTTGACTATACTCATAGGCGCCATAGTAGTTCCTTTTTGTGCCTTGTATTTAGGATCCTACAGGCTAATCCCAAAAAGGAACTACTATGCAGCCTTTGGGAAGTCTCATGTGTAGAACTTGAGGCCCGCAAACCTTTGCCTCTCTGTTTATTCACTGCGGAGTAGACTAGGAGTGGAATTGAAAAGCTGGTTCCACTCTTCCGCGGTCCGAAGCAAGATGGCTCTCTTTGGGGACTCTTTTGTGCGATAACTTGCTCGGATAGTTGGACTTCTTGAGTCACAACTGGTTGCATGTGCCGAAATCTGGGGCAACAATTCGCAGGACATTCTCCTGGCTTTGAAGGCTCAGCGCGTGCCCCTCTGCCCACTCACCCCTGTGTAAGCGACACAGCTGTCTGAGCATAGTGTGGTCGCGTTGCTGCCAATGTGCCAAAACAAGAGTGACAGGCTTGTTGCTGCCACACTTCCTTCTACAACACCTGTCCTAGTCCTAGCATCCTATATTAGATACTGGGCCATCTGCATAATGCCATGGATTTTGAAGAAACCGCGCGGAAGCTCACCTTTCAGGACCTCCAGCTTGAAGTAATTCACCAAGCTCGGAGGTCTTTTGCAAGCCAGGAAAGTCTCAGCTTCAATCTGCATCTCGTGCGACTCGTAGGCGAGGTGCCAGGTCGCCCCGTCTTCGTCAGACTTCACATGGATCCGAAAAGCTGTCGAGGCCGGTATGGTGCTACCAAAGCTGAAGCCCTGAAGAAGAACCCAGACATGCGGAAGCTGCCACTGCAGCCACCCTGTTGTCACTCTATACTTTATTTGATTGGACGCTACTTGTTGAAGCTGGTCTGTGGTCGTGCTTCTGCCCTTCTCGGGTCCCAGGACCACCGACACCCAATATCCCAAAAAAACACTCTTCTTCTTGTCGTTTTTGTAGTGACTCCACAGTGTCCCCAGCACGTCTTCCGTGCGCTCATTTTTATGCTGGATGTTGATGATCGATGCTAGGGAGTCGCAGTCCTTCCCTTCCCAGCTTCGGACGATGTTCCTCAGTGCTTCTGCTTCTGTGCACAGCAGGCCTGAGCCCAGAATCTCCTCCAAAAGCTCCGGTCGAAGAGGTGGCCGCTTTTGCAAGGCCTCTCTAGGCTCGGCGAGGATGACATCCAGCGCCTCTGTTCGCAAGTCATCCATGTGGAAACGCTGCGCAGAAGCCAAAATTTCACAGGCGGTTACGGGTGTGAGCGCCTCCCGAATCAGTGGCATGCACAACGCATGCAGCGCCTTCACCTGATACTTGTCTGCCAGTGCAGACACCTCCACAAGACCTCCCGCAGAGCCTGCGACGATACCACAATACAAGAAGCGAAGAAACGTCTCAACAGCGTTGGCCGAGAAGTCTTCAATGACGACCTGCGACTCCTTCGACTCGGAATAGTTGTCCGAGCTGATCATTGTCTCAAAGACGGGAGACCACTGGGCCAGCAGGAAAGACCATACCTTGAACTCCGTGCGTTTGGCCGCCGTCTGACCTTCTGTATCCTTGGAAGCTTCACCCGCGGGCTCTTCCACGATGACCGTGAAGTTGCCATCCTTGCCGAAGCACTCTTTCCACACATCAGATGTCGCAGACAAGTCTTTGTCTGAGAATATCCCGGCTGGCTCCCTTTTCCGCTTGGATCCTGTCGACATCTGCAAGAAGCGCAACCTGCAGTTCTATAGCGAAAACCCCTTTTTCGAACGTCTATAATGGCCCTCCTACTTTCATTGGTTGGACCAGTCCATATTGAAAAAAGGACGCTCATGGATGCTGGTACTGTGTATTCAGACGCCGGTCTATATAAATATGAACAAATGAATAAACCATACATATATACATGTATGTATGTATGTATGTATGTATGTATGTATGTATGTATGTATGTATGTATGTGTATATATATATATGTGTGTGTGTGTGTTTGAGTGTATCTTCACAGAAGTTGTCTTACAAACCAATAGTTGCATCGCCTTGCACTAGTTGACTTGGATCGCGTTGGTGACTCGGTCACTACTGCGTGCCATAACCCGTCATTTTCTGTAACCCCTCAATACTAAGGGAGCGCGTCAGCCCTCGATATAATCCCCTGAATGAGCTATAACTGAACAATTATACCCCGTATGCTTCCCTGACTGTGCCCAAGACCCACGTGCTGTGGCACAGCTAATTGACCGCCGCGGATTTGGAGTTTAATTTCGGGGTCGACGGCTGATGGTTGAAATCTGTATGCTTGTAGGATTGAATTGAAGGCTTCCGGAGCTTAGGATCGTAGGGCTTGTATACGGTTTAAGAGGCTTTGGGCTGCGCTTTTATAGTGCAGACTTACACTCCCATGTTCAATGATCTTTCAACATACACAGCTCGACATGTCCGGGTACCGCTGTAGTGGTTCCTAGCTCTGACGTCTTAGAAAAAACCGTTATGCCTATGACGATAGTACAGTACCTATAGTCTCCATTGTAGTTCCTTTTTGGGGTTACCTTTTAGGATCCCTCATATAAAGTGGGTTAAACCAAAGGAACTACAATGGAGACTATAGGTAACCCATGACATGGAGAGTCGGGGTTCGCGGGATTCCTTCAAAGAACCATCTTCAGCAACTTTCGGCAGTAGGACTCTGGAAAAGAGATCCTAAATCCGAAGCCCTCCAAAGCTCTTGAATCAAGGTTCATAGGCACCCAGAAGCAAGTTTAACTTGAAAGTAGAGGTCCTTTCTGACATGCAAACATATGCGCTTATGACCCTGTCGTATGAATGAGGCTATAAAGCCACGTGCACGCAATCATGAGACACGAACAATCTATCCAACCCCATATCTGCAGGTCTGACATTCCCTTCATGCACTTGCCGCTCAGATGAGAACCCTTCACCGGATCCCCAGAAATCAGCCTCTTTCTGTGAACTCCTAACATCGAGCCTGTAGCTGTTTTTCCCAAGACCACAGATAAGAAAGGTGAAGCTTTGTCTGAATCCGTAGACTGGTTCTGTCCATATGCATAGAAACAGGCTCCTAAGTAGTTCCTTTTTATGGTTCTTATTTAGAATCCTTTAAGGTAATCCCAAAAAGGAACTACTTAGGAGCCTATGGGTAGAAACAGTATAGTGCTTGCAGGATCCAAGCGATGTAGTAAGCAGGCTGTACGTGGATTCGTCAGTCCTTAAAATTCGGGTTACTTTGCTTGTTACTCTGCTCATAGCCCTAAACCCTCAATCTCTACGCCCCGTGACTTAACTCTTCCCTGCTGCCATTTTGGATGCAAAAAGCAGGTGCCCCACCAGGGCTCTACTTCAAGGCTTTGCATCGTACCGTGAAAACTGGGTTAAACCACACTTTCGACGCCCACCGCCGAGCCGCGAGTTCCACAGGCGCGCATGGCGGCTCCGTAGCAGATCACGTTCGGCGGCATGCCTGTGTAGACTTGGTCAGGAGGTGGTAGGTTTAGCACTTAACCCTCTAGGGTATAAAGTTTAGGGTAATATATGTGCGCCTTAATGCTTATAAGTAGGGTTTGGGCGTCCACTAGCATAACTGTATAGGGGCCATAAGGGGATACTGTTAGCAAGTACTCCGAATCCTATATATTTTGATAGAAGGGTGCATATGCAGACTATAAGGCGGTGTTCGTGCTAACTAATCGGTCGCCCACATTAATGGTTCTTTGTTGGGGCTACATTACCATAAAAATGAACATTCTTAATCCATTTTTTATTATAACAAAAATGCGAAATTGTAGCCAACAAGGATCCAGTAAACCCTAAACCCTAAAACCCTAAACCCTAAAACGCCCAGTTCATCAGAGGCCTTTAGGTGTTAGGGCCTTTGCGTCTTTTTTCGAGGCGACGGGCAAGCCGAGGCAGGACTTAAGGCGGAGTTCTGCTTCAGCAGCTTTTAAGTAACTTAAGTAGCCTAGGGTTTCGGGTTTAGGGTGTAGGGTATAGGGTTTGGGGTTCAGGGTATAGGGTTTAGGGTATAGGGTATAGGGTTTAGGGTCGTTGGCTTAATGCCCGGCTGCAATGCTACAAGATGCTAACTGTAACACCGGTCAGCCCAACCCTGAACCCCAAAGCAGAAGAACAAACTTTAGGGTTTGGATATGGGACTTACCTTATTTTGGGGTCCTTGCAATAAGGATCCTACTATTTAGGGTACTATATTAGGGTCCCCTATTTTTGGAAACCCTCAATAGTTCTGGCAGTGTAGAATTTGGGTCAAGCTGCCTGTGGTTCAAACCCCGGCGTCATAACGTTGGAATATAGGTAGTCATTGTGAGACCGCTATGTTTGTCTGATTTCGATCCGTTTTTCATGTCGAGGCGTAAGTTGACGGCTGCGACGTTTGTGTGGCTTTAAAATACTCCCTAAATGTTCTAGGTGTCTCGAAGCCAAAACACATACCTCATATGCACATGGACCCTTAGGGTAAGCTCCAAAGCATGCGCTCGAATTCGACGCCATGAATTGCAGTTCTTGACGACGCTGCATCCAAATCGGTGGGCAGCAAGTAAGAAGGAATGTGTGAAGTGGTCCAGGTGCCCAAGCGCTCCGCATCGTGGCTAAAGCTGCCGACATCAACCTGCAACTGTGCCGCCAGCCCTACGTACGTCGCAGGCTGCAGTTTCCAAGCCAGAGGTGGCTGTGGGCGGACCTTCTGTGAAGCGCTTGGCAGTGGACGTTCTGTTCTGACGTGCGACAAGTCGCGTAGCACAAAGCACATACATGTAGCAAGCTCCACGATAATGTGAAAGATCGCAACACATCATGCAGTTCACCAAGTTCCGGATGCATTGTTCTCGGATATGAGGGCCTTACCAACTATTGGACCCAGGGGAGGTTCGATCTGATTCGGTGAATCTTGAAGGGCCAACAACAACCCTGAACAATGTAAAGCCGAGCCCGCGTTCTACAAGGCCCTTAGACCCAACATACGAGTTGAATAGGCGTTTGGGTGGGCCTCTACTACAACAAGTATTTGTTGAGGAGAACCCTAAAACCCAAACCTGGATCTTATCTGAAAGTACTTGCGAAGGAGAACCTCAGGGGCTGAGTACCATGGCCCAAAGAAAGTTGCCATCTCCAGTTATGGTAGGGATATACAGACCCCAGAAGGTTAATGCCCAGCCCCTAAAGAACCCAGTGCTCAGTCCTCGTCTCCTCATGTCTGAAATCAGCCACAAGGTCTCCGCCCACCTACTTCCGGCATTTACGGTCAGGGTTCGAGGTTCCATAAGGGTTGCCAAAATTCTCGGGCGGTCAGGGTTTGGGGTGTTAAAGGTTTCTAGGGGTGTAGGGTGTAGGCCATTTCTGGGTCCGTTACAGGTTTGATGGTTATGGTCTTTGAAGATGTTTGAAGGGCAGAACTGGCAGTTCAAGGTTTAGGGTTTATAGGGTTTAAAGAAATTTTGAGAGTCAAAAGGTAAACAGCAGCCCATCAGAAACAAGCTTGAAGCTGAGGTCGTGCAGTCCCGCTTCATAGGTGTCTGCAGTATGTTGAGGTTTTGGACATGGTATCTGGGGTTGGGTATGGGGCTTCAGAGCATTTCCGAAACCTTTAGCACATCCTAACTTGGTTCCTGAGTAGCCCCTTTATAATAAGGGTACCCTTTTTCCTACTATTCGGTTTTAGTAAGGGGGCCCTAAAATAAAAAGGGCAAAAGGGTACTACTCAGGGACCTAGCTAAACCATAAACCCTAGCTTCCGAGACCTGGAAGCAGGAGTGCAGCTAGGATCCCACATGTCCGTCCGTATGTATGCATAATTACATACATACAAGCATACATACATATCTAATATATACATATGTATGCATGTCTGCATGTATACATGTACGAATGTATGGAGGTATGGATGTAAAGATGTACAGATGTAAAGGCGTAATGTAATGTAATGTAACGTAATGTAATGTAACGTAATGTAATGCAATGTAATTTAATGCAATGTAATGTGATGTAATGTAATGCAATGTAATGCAATGTAACGCAATGTAATGCAATGTAATGTATTGTAATGTAATGTCATGCCAAGTAATGTAATGTAATGTGATGTAATGTAATGTAGTGTAATGTAATGTACTGTAAAACGTGTGATGTAATGTGAGGTAATGTAAGGTAATGTCATGTGATGCAATGTAATGCAATGTATTGTGATGCAATGTAACTTAATGTATTGTGTGTGTGCATGCATGCATGCATGGATGTATGTATGTATGTATGTATGTATGTATGTATGTGTGTATGTGTATGTTTGTAATTTGTGCATGTCATGTGCGCATGTATGTACGTAAGTACGAGTGCAAGTAAAACAAACATGCATGCATGCATTGCTGTTTTATGTATACGTGTATGCAGGCTCAGGGGCCTGAACAAGTCATTTTTAAGTACTGCTATAGATAAAAGACCTCAAGTTTGTCAAGGGTGCCTACACACATCTGCCTTTTTGAGTTAACCAAGCAAGTCCCATGACATTTTATGCGAAGACTGGAACCCGTCAGCCTTAAATCCCATACCCCACATCCTACTTGGACCCCACAAACATGTCGAATAGTAGCCTTTTATAGCTACAAGCCTGGGGCCAGCATCGAAGCCTCCAACTGGACCCCAGAAGCAAGTAGAACTATAGCCTTTGTAAGCCTTGGGCCACTACTTTACTCTAGGT